TTATTATATATATATATATATATATATATATAAACAATAATAAACTATTAACTCACAAAATACATTAATTAATACTACCTATACTACACAGTCTTATATCTGCCAGAGGGGTAAGTTTATGTCACATTCGAGTTGGACTTCAACTTGAACATTTTCTGTAGATTTTAAAACTTATTGTAAAGAAATTTGAGAGGAGAGTTTGATTAGTTAAGTAAAGAGCTGTTTTTTTTTCTTCTCCCAACGTTATTATAAATAAAATGTCAGTCTTTTATTTTACTGCAAATAATATTCAGTAATTTTTCATAGGAGTTAACGCCTATTCATTTAAGAATATTGAATTTTTTGTTTGTTTGCTGAATTTCACTCAAAGTTACTCCAGGGCTAACTGTGCTAGCCGTCTCTAATGTAGAAGTGACAGACTCGAGGAAAGGTAACTAGTCAACACCACCTGCCACATACTATCCTCGAATAGTATAGTGCGATCTATCGCACGTTATAATGTCCCCGCGGCTGAAAGGACGACAATGTTAGACGACACATTTCAATCATATCTACAGATTTCGCGTTGAGCGCCCTAACCACCAGACCCTCGAGGTTTTTTTTTTAAGCGCTATCTGCAGACTATTTTTGAATAATGATTTGTGTGAAAACGTTTTCTACAAACTGGTTTTGGTGCAAGGATTCGTGTGGAAATGTTCTTTACAGACTGATTTTTGGTGTCAGGATTCGTGTGGTAACGTTTTTTAAAAGCTAGTTTTAGTGTCAGGATTTGTGTGGTGACGTTTTTTAATGACTGTTTTTAGTGTCAGGATTAGTGTTGTTACGTTTTTTAAAGACTGGTTTGGGTGTTAGGATTCGTGTGGTAACGTGTTTTTAATGACTGGTTTTGGTGTCAGGATTCGTGTGGTAACGTTTTTTAAAGACTGGTTTTGGTGTCAGGATTCGTGTGGTAACGTTTTTTAAAGACTGGTTTTGGTGTCAGGATTCGTGTGGTAAAATTTTTTAAAGAGTGGTTTTGGTGTCAGGATTCGTGTGGTAACGTTTTTAATGACTGGTTTTAGTGTCAGGATTCGTGTGGTAACGTTTTTTAAAGACTGGTTTTTGTGTTTCGATACCTGTGGCTATAGGTGTTGTCCTATCCTTAAATATAACTACAAACACTTCTGCAATATTATAATTAAGACTATAAAGACTTGTTACGACAGCGGAAGTCACGTGACGCTGGTAACACGTCATGAGATTCTCGAAGGATCTTCTAGGCGCCCTCTTTTATTGTATATAAGCCTGGCAAATAAAGCGGAGATAGAGAGCAGATAGAGAGATAGATAATTGAGTCAAGCGAGCAGTAGTGACCGTAAGTAAATTGCGTGAATCGTTGTAAACTATAGCGTGTGTTAAGTTAAAGTGACCGTGGAAATTCTGTGTATTGCAAAGTTGTATTGAGAAAGAATAAACTAGTTTTATTTAAAGAAAGGACTTGTATCGCTGAAGTTCCTCGGGAAGAATTTATACCGGAAATTAACAAACGACCAGAGACGTAACAGACTAATGTTTGTTATGAAATGGTTTGCAGAATTATCCCAAATGTTTAGTATGAACTTGTTTGACGTTTTCCTCTTCTCTCTATTTCTCTTTTGCAATTCCGTAAGAGGAGTTGAATTGTCTTGACGATAGGTGATCCAAAACCTCCATAATGCATATTCAATAAGCTATAGAATATTATTCTTGGACCCTTAGTTTTAGCTTTGTTAGGCTTAAGAAGATACGTTTGCGTATTACCAACACGGGACAGTTTATTTATTTTTAACCGGATAAACTAAGACTATATCACCACATACACATATTCAGAAAGTTCTGTGTAGTGGGTTAACCCTGTCCCCCTGCCTACAATGGTTAAACCCCGGCGGATCCTGCACGAACGCATAATCAAACGCATGTTACTCAACCATCGCTGGTTAGTAGACCCTGAAACGAGGTCGAGAGCGTGAGCAGAGTGTGGAGTAACAGAATCAACCAGGTCTTTCTTTGTGTGTACTGTTAGAGGAATTTCTCTACGGCTTCTCATTAGTGCCCCTATTGTACTCTAGTAATTTCGAGATCTCAAATAAAAATGAAAATATGATTAAATTCCTGATGAACATAGCAGATATTACAACCTGAGAAAACAAAGTATCAGTACAGATCTAAATAGAGCAACAGCTTGTGGAAGAACTAGTTTGTTCGTGGTTCACGTGAAGTTGTTACTACTATTTAAGTTACCATGTACCACATGCTGTAAGGTTTTGTGGAGTATGACTTCGTACAGCAAATCTGTGAATGGTTATAATTTACGTGACGAATACAGTTTTGAATCAAAATATAGTAAAATACATTTAGGTTGCTTGTCGGAAATATCTTCGTTTTGTGGGTTTCCATAAAATCAGTTTATGACGAATACTTCTTGTGTATTTGTTTCATGCGGAAAGAGAAATGGCTAATTTCGTACTGTAGACTTATTACAAATTGGAGTTTATTTTGCTTCGCTATTTGAATTTGTTCCAGTAGAATAAAAAACAACAACTATGATTCCCGAATGAAAGTTTAGGAAATTACGCTTTATGAATATAGTATAAATATTTATGGTACAATTGTTAACACATGGTGATGATGCGAGCCGGCGGCCAGTGGCCCCTAAAACTAGAAGTAGCGGTAGTTTTTGTGGTTCTTGTCGTCCAAGTTTCAGTGGGCGCTGGGATTGATGAAGTTGCTAACTTCCCTGGTTCATTTCACGGTAAGTAAATTGGAAACGTCTGATACTGTGGGTGTGTGAAAAACTAGTTTTATGTAGCTTAATTTTAGATCGACCTTTTTTTACTTATATTGGAAAAAAAAATTCAATAACGGAAGCCTGTTGTTAAGCTTTAAACCACTGTTATTAACAGTGTTAATCATCATAACTTCTTTGTAAACGAACTGAATATTGAAACCATTTATGTTTTACTTTAGAGTTTTGTGCGTTTCAAGTCATTAACGAAAGTTTATAGAAAAGTTAATCGAGGTGAACAAACTTCCTGTCATTTGTATGTGAAACTGTCTTTGCAGCTGGCAACAGAACACGTACACAAACTACACTTTATAACTTATTGTAGTTGTGGCAGGTGCTTTGTTTATTATTTTGAGGTCAAATAAAACGACATTCGTAAGTTCATTTCGGTTTATTCACAGTTGAAAGTAATCTAAGAAAAGGCTTATGAATTTTTGTTGTGACTTGAACTAAAAAGATATTTGTTTGAAGTTTTTAGACGATACATATCGATTTCATGTCGAATGTAACAAGTGGATAAAATTAGTAATCAGTAATAGCAATGTAGACCTAGTATTACTATTAGTTAATAATGATTATCATTAATAATTATTATTAGTTAATAATAATTAGTTATTAAGTTAATAATGGTAATGTAGGCCTAGTATTAGTACTAAGTTAATAATGGTAATGTTGGCCTAGTATTAGTACTAAGTTAATAATGACAAATTAGATGATGATAAAGAGTAGAGCGACGGCAACAATTGTAAGCATCTTTAATAGTTGAACGTTTCGGAATTGTAAATATTCCATTATCAGTAAATTTATGAGAATAATCAGTAAAAACAATCATCATTATAGTAAACTAACATTAAAATGCAATGTAAACCCAAGCCTGAATAAAAATTACAACTATTTTCCTTTTGTGTTATTTATATATAATTTTTAGACGAATATTTTAAATTTCCAAACACAATTTCATTATATTTTAATGTTAGTTCACTTTATTGAAGATTGTTTCTACTATTTATTCTCAGAGACTTGCTGGTGATGGTATATGTATAATTACGAAACTTTCAGCTATTGAGGATATTTACAGCTATTGCTTTGTTTCTGCGCTTTATTATTACAGTTTGAGACATCATTTTGCACCAAAGAAACAACTGCTAGTTGTAAATTGATATGTGGTTCGACCTCAGATCGTTTATCCTAACTTTAAGGTTACAAATTCTAAAGACTTGAACTTATCAAAAGAAAATTATTTCAGGAAAGTAAGCAGGGAAGAAAAACCTCATGCGCCTATCCTAATATGTGGGTTACGGTGATTTGTGGCAGGTACAAGCAGTCGTTATGTGTTAACATAAGGATTGCCAAACTCGCTTCTTTTCCTTCGTTTTGATAGTCGTGAATCTGCTTGAATGGCGTTCATTGACTTACAAACCTATTTGCTGCAGTATATATAGTATACAGCGTATTTGATATTATAAAAACAAAACAAAAATTATTCATCCCATTCGCTGCTGGTTTTTGTCGCTGACTCCACGTTTGTTTTATTAATTTATTTACAGTGTATGTAGTATTATTGTTATCAAGATTTAAAAAATGAATGTTTGTAGTCGCTTCTGTTGTTTTTCTTCTCTTGCCAACGCCTTATTTGTTATATCCATTTACAATGTATGTAGTATCATTATCAAAATCAAGGTTACAAAACATGTACACTAACGACATAAACGTACATCATTGAAACGGAGTTGTCATTAAGAGCACTTGGGTTGTAACAATGTCAGTAACAGCATTTCTCTTGCAAAAATTTCAGTTAGAGCACTTGGCTTGCAACAATTTCAGTTAGAGCACTTGGCTTGTAACAGTGTCAGATAGAGCACTTGACTTGTAACAGTGTCAGTGATAATAGTGTATTATATTCTTTCCATAAGAAATCTGCGGAATGTATCTCGTTGGTTCACCCTGTATAACCTTACAACTTTCTCAACAACACGTGGGCTATAATTCGTAAATATTACTTATAAAATTTGTTTTTATTATTCCAAATTGATTTATAAACAATTGCATTGCATTAAGTAAGTCGCTAGTGATAAAAAATATTATTCCGAAAATAGTTACCACCCACACCATCTTTTTCTTTTTATAAATCTCTGAAGTGTTATCAATCTATGGTATTGTATTTTGGGCTATTATAATCTTTTTAGCCAGCATTGTTTGTTCTAAATCTTTCCAATATTTAAGTGTGGGAGTGGCCTAGTGGATAGCGTGTCAGGCTGCGTATCGTGACGTGATGCTGTTTACGTGCTCGGCACTTCACTTATGGGATTGGGTACGTTTTAAAAGTGACAGTCAATCCAATATTAGGTACTGAGACTCGGGCAAAGCCTTAGGGGTCTCTGACCTGACCTCTTAGCCCGTATGTTCATAAGGCTTTTTTTTTTTTCAGATTGAAAATTAATTTCCACGGTTCAAAAATAATGTTTATATTTTCACTTCGGTAAACGGTTGCAGGAAGTCTAAGCTAACTGTAGGGTATTATCTCCATGTGCATTATTAGTCCTATAGACGGCCCCATGCATATTATCCCCATTTTTAAAGTGCATAATAGGACATTATCCCCGTATCTAAAGTGCATAACAGGACATTATCCAATCGTTAAAACGTTTATAACCATAATCAATTTTTGTTTTTTATTATACAGATCAGCAACTTTCAGAAATTGCAACTATTAGCAGAAGTACCTGTAAGGTGAGAGGTATATGGTTTGTTTTGACTTTCGAATTTCGCGCAAAGCTACACGAGGGCTATCTGCGCTAGCCGTCTCTAATTTAGCAGTGAAAGACAAGAGGGAAGGCAGCTAGTCATCATCACCACCGCAAACTCTTGGGCTACTCTTTTACCAATGAATAGTGGAATTGATCGTCACATTATAACACCCCCACGGCTGAAAGGGCGAGCATATTTGGTGGGACGGGAATTCGAACCCGCTACCCTCAGATTGCGAATCGAGTGCGCTAACCACTTGGCCATACCGGTCCTGAGAGGTTTATGAAAGTTTTTGTTTTCCCGAAGTTTGCCAGTGGCAATATAAAGATTGTAAATATATAAGATAAAATTATTTGTGTTGACTTAAGTAACATTTTATTTTTTTATTACCGAAAGGCAATAAGTAACGTGAATTAAAAACCTCTCACATTTCTACAAGTGTGTTTATCTTGAAAGTATGTATAAACAATGAGTGGAAAAGAAATCCCTGAAATGATTGATGAGATTAAAAAACGGGTTGTAATTGTATTATTGTTTTACCAGTTATGAATATAAATAACAGTGGTGTAGGAAGGAGTTTCAAAGTGAAGATGCTTGGCTAGATATGTAGATTTTACAATGAGAGATTGAAAGTATTAGGAGCTGCTAAAGGCAGCTCAATTTAGGGGGGGGGGGGCATGCCCCCAGAAAATTAATATAATAATATAATTTACAATTGCTATACATGTCAAATATGTAAAAGTGGGGACCGGTTCCGACGCTTCTGAATAATGTTTCATTTTTTCTTGTTCTAAATATGCCAGTAATGATTGAAAGTACGTAGACTCTCTGTATACTTCGTGTAATGAAAGAGAAAACTGGAGATATCCCATCAGTACCCCTAGTGCTACTCCCACTGACTGATCTATATTTATCCAGAACTGGAGCTATGAAATCTGTGCATTTTAAAAGAAAAATAACTTCTTGACACATCTAAAATCATTCCTAGTTGATTAAACCAGATTTGACAGATCCAAATCCAAAAGCCTAGGAGGAGTTATGGGACAAACAAACACTTCTCTCAACTTATAGTAGGATTTAACTTAAAATGTACTTTTCATTGAGTAGCAATAATTTTATTTTTATCACCATTTATATATTTATTCTTTTACTTGGAAAAGCTAGCACATGTCTTTGTAAATTGATGGTAGATATTTTATAGCCAGAGGAGTAATTTGCCTACCTATAAGTTGGTTAATGTTTTTACTGACGTGACCTGGGTTGAGATTTTAACCAACTAGATTTCTTATTAATAGTGCTGCAAACTCTGAAGATTGTACCAATTTCTGAAGTAGGTGCGTTTCTAACCATATTATTGATGACTGTTTTGTTACTTTAAAAAGTATCTTTTTTATGGTTGGTAAATAAGATAACCTTTCAACTTGAAACAAATATCCTGTTGGTTTGTTTTTCTTGCGAGAGCTTTAAAAGTCCCGCCTCGTGAGGAACGTCTTGTTTTACTATCTGTTTGTTCCCTCCCCTGTGGCTCAGAGGCAAGTCAGAGGGCTTATAACTTAAATAATCAACCCACGAGTTACTTCTACTGAAATAGTTTAAACTACAACAACATTAATTGTAACTTCTTTATTCGGTATTTCGGTGACTCTACAGTTCACCAGGTTTAATCACAGTGGTTCCATATAATCAAAATACAAGTGTTTCTGACAAACTTTCAAACTGCTTCGTTTAATTGGCAGTTAATTGTACATCATATTCGAACCCCGAATTCTACTGTTTTAAGCTCTGTACTTTACCGCTGAGTGGGAAAAGTAATATTAATATTCTACACTGTATGAAATATGTGTATTAATTCTGCTGCTTTCTCCTTCATGTTAGTGATGTTGTATCGCTTGTGTATATTATAACCCCTGTTTTAAGTTCGTTGTAATTTAACTTTCAGTTAATTACCATATCGACTGTATGTAGTTTTTTAATATATTTTCTTCCACGTGGCAGTTAATCGCCACGTGCTACCGGCAGTTAAGCTGTGTAATCATTTACTGGGTCTGACATATAATGTTTCGCTTGGCTCAGAACATGACTGTGCGGCTGTTTGTTGATTGAAAAAAGATTGTAACTCAACAAATGCCTGTCTAAATTAACCACTCCATCATGCACGTTAACCGAAATGTTTTGCAGTAGCGTTGCCGAGTTCTCTCACTTTTAATTTAAAGGCCAAG